TTTTTTTTTTTTTTTTTTTTTTTTTTTTTTTTTTTTTTGTGTCTTGAATGGAGATGGACCAAGCCAATAGATTTGTGGCTTATATGTCCAGATAATAAACTGTCGTAATTTTTGGTCACAATTATGTACAAAACGTTACAAAAAAAAGAGCGGACGTAATAACTGGAGCCAGCATGTTAAGTGTAATTATGCGTAATTTGGCTGAAAACGAAAAAGGAATGCTATGATAATAGAGGATGATTGAACGCAAAAACGAAAGACAAAAAAAAGGAAAGAAGAGGAGAAAAAAAAAAGCACATGTTTACAGTACTATGTAAAGCGAGAAAACATTCTGTTTTTCAAAAGAAATAAAAAGTGGTTTTTGGCTCATTACTTATCAACTATAAGAAAACAAGTCCGTAGTTCCTGTAGAAATATGGGAAAAATTGACCGCGGCTATCCGATATTTTAAACTATGAAATCTCAGATCTTTTTTTATTAAGTCCCTTTTAGTCCCTATTAGTCCCTTTTACAACGATGATGGATATAAAAGATATGATCACTCACGTCCCGCAGTGTAAGAAGTTACTGAAACATTAGAATAAGAAAAAGAGCTATTATATGAAAACAATCTATAAATAATTTACTTTCAATGTTCTCTATTTTGTAATTCCTCATCCTTTTTTTTTTGTCTACATCTACATTGTGGTTTTCATAAATTAGCAAACCACTTTCATTGTCATCATTGCTTCGGAATATGAAATTTGAGACAAAAGAACAAAAAGCTAACAAGCAAATAATAACTAATTTAATCAACATTGACAGATGACAATGTCAGAGTACATTGAGTATTTCTGTAAGTGATGTCTTGCGGACGGTTCACTTACGATTGATCGTTGTCAATAACGCAATGCATGCAATTCAACGAATTTGCTTAAGTATTCTGAAATGCGGTCTGGAAATATGCTTCTGTGATAGTTAAAAACCTTTTTTGGTTTCATTCATATTACAACGAGTATGATTATACCCTTCATCCCTTTTAGCGCAGGTCACGTTAAATTTGTACGAACGTACGTAAAAACCAGAAGGATTTGAGATAAGTCCACCTTTTGTTAAGATTATTTTTAATTGTGATTTGATTAGTATACAACTTAGGTGACAATATGTCTCATATTTTTAGAACTTGTCCCGATTCTTTACAGCACGATTTCTGGTTCCGGATGTATAATATTTACTCCAAATGGTTCCGAATGACAATAGTGTAAGAACGTAAAAGTTGAAATGCAAACTTAAATAGTGTAAATTGTCAACTAAGAATGTGGCGCGCACAGTACCGATTGCGTAAACCGTGGATCACGCAGTGCGATGTTTCGTTTGAAGACATTTTAACGTTGTTAACGTTCAACTACACTAGATGAAGTGATCAGTTACACAAAATCAATCCATTAACTAATCCTTCCTGCATATATGCTCCTAATCTTCTACTTTTTGTCGGTCCAAATTTTGGTTAATTCATTCGCCAATCCATCATCATTCGCAGATTGTCCGCCTGTAATTGTCTTCCCAGTTCGTTTCCTTAACTTTACGGCTTATATAACAACTTTTCCTTTTTTCAATACGCAATGAAAAAAGTTGCTATCGCTGTTGTATTCAGCTGTTGGCTGAAAACGGCTGAAAGCGAAATCTAAAGTTCAATTTTTCAAAAAAAATGATTATCTCTCCAACATCCAACCAACAATCGTCTTCAAACTTCGTACCCACATAGAGCCCTTTTTTTACAACGTATATAATAATCTCATGTTATTGACTCGCGAACGTTGAAAAAGGAAGAAGAAACCGCGGATCCAAAAAATTTCTGTAATTAATATAAACAAAGTTAATTATTTTGAATTATTTTCAGTTTTTACGGAACGCAAAAAAAATTTGAAGGAAGATTATATACTATCGCCTTATTATTACCTTCTTATCTTTCCCATTATAATCTCGAAAAAATGTTGGGTTATGGGCGCGGTCTACGTCGTGACTTATCACAGCCGGCACTGGCTCCAAAATCTCTGGATATTGGCGTAGGCACACAGAGTTTTGGTTCAACTGCTAAAACATGTCGAGTTGGCTTTGGTCGTCGAGGAAAAATTTTACCATCCGGATCTCATAAGTTGCCTGCCTTAGGAACGAATGCTTCCGGAGATGACTCATTATCAACCAAAGCTCAAGACGATGAAAAATCGAAAGAAGTGCACCCTAAGGACTTAATCATGAAAGAGCCTAAGGAAACTTCGAGTTTGCTTACATCTCCTAAAGCAACTCATGGCGTAAAAGGTACTCCGATTCAATTGGTATGCAATCACATACGTATAAACTCGGATCCAAATAAGGGCATTTATGTTTATGAAGTGCGCTTTATCCCCAATATCGACTCGAACCGTTTAAGGAGACAATATTTAAATGAGCACAGCGTCAAGTTTGGCGGAACTAAAACTTTTGATGGTGTCACTTTATATTTACCAATTTTGTTGAAAGATGAACTTACCACGTATGTCTCAAAAGCGTACGATGGATCTGATATTGAGATTCGGATACTTTTTAAAAGAAAAGAATTGCTAAAACACTGTATGCAGTTTTATAACGTCCTTTTTGATCGAATCATGAAAACTCTAAATTATGTACGGTTTGATCGGAAGCAATTTGATCCAACATCGTCAATAGTGCTCCCACAGCATCAGTTGGAAATATGGCCCGGATATGTGACCGCCGTAGATGAACATGAAGGAGGTCTGTTACTTTGCTGCGATGTGTCTCATAGATTACTATGCCAAAAAACTATTTCGGAAACGCTCCTTGAAATTTTCAGACGTAACCCCAAGCACTTTCAAGAAACGGCTAAGAAGGCACTCTTAGGTGCTACCGTTATAACGAGATACAACAATAAAACCTACCGAATTGACGATATTTGTTTTGAAAAAAGTCCGCGATCGACGTTCACATTCAAAGAAGGGACACTGAGTTTCTTGGACTATTATCGAAGGAATTACAATATTGAAATAAAAGACACAAATCAACCACTCTTGATATGCATCAAAAAACAACGTATGTCGCAGAGATCGCAAGCAGAAGATCTCGTTATCTGTTTAATTCCTGAGCTGTGTTACGTAACCGGGTTACGTGATGAAATAAGGGCTAATCACAAACTAATGCGTGAAATTGCGACTTTCACTTGCCTCTCACCTGTTCAGCGTATAAATGCATTGAAAAAATTTTATACGAATATAGATAACAGTCCCGAATCGCGGAAAATTTTAAGTGTGTGGGGATTATCTCTTGTACAGAATTATGAGGAAATCAGTGGCCGGCAACTTGATGAAGAAAAAGTTTATTTCGACCGAAAAATAGTCCCTGTTGGTCCTAAAGCGGACTTTTCGAAATGTCTTGTAAATAATACGATATTAGAAGCTATTGCCATTGAGAACTGGCTTCTCATTCATTGCGAGAAGGATAGTAAAGCGGCTTTATCGTTTTGCGAACACATGCCAGTAGGTACGAATTCATTCGGATTAATAGTAGAAAGACCGCAATTCGTTACGGTTTACCGTTCATTCTGTATTTACGTGGTTACCCACGTTTCTTTTGATTGTGTAAATAAAGTCTAGGCTATTGGAAATTCACAATCCAACAATGTAAACATAATTTATGTTTTTTTCTTTTTGCATTTCAATTGTTTGCTTATTTTCTATAGTGAAGAGCAGCAAGCAATGTCACATTAACAGTCGTAAGCGGAAAACGCACAATGTTTACATTATGAGTCGCGAACTTTAAAAAATACGCTGCTGGACTTAAAGCGTGGTACACAAGGCATAACGTAAATTCAGGAGAATAATCACTAAAATCAATAAAATTTCGCTTTCACTTATTTAGAGGAAACGTCTGAAAAGAAGTGCTTTTTTCAAACGAAAAAAATTCTCAAAATGAATGCAGACCCCTTTATATTATTTAATTTAACAGCTGACTATGTCTCTTTGCCACTGTTTTGTTCGATTCAGGCAAGCAAACGTCATCGTATACATGCATGCATATGCGTATATTATAATACCGTTACGCGTATAATGTTGCATTTTCAGCTGTTTATTACAAGAACGAATGCTTAGGAAGGCATTTAACTAGAAAATAAGTTGGCGTTGATTCCACATTTCTGCCACTCTCCACTTGGGCAGATCGTTAAGCATTTATAGTGGGCAATAAATAGACAATTTACAAGGAAAGTATATTTAAAAATTGAAGAATAGCAAAGCGTCTTAATTATATCAAATCTCTTATTTTTTTGGAATATCGTTTCTTTATTTTAATCCATCGTTCAAGTTGATATCTTAGTAAACGGTCAAGTGAATTATATGTGAGTATATCATGATCGCGAAGATTGCTTGCTAGGGGTGTAAAAACGTTGCTTTTTGTACCTAAAATGAAGCTTTCAAGCTCATATTTGGCGGAAACATTGGGAGTCCTTCAGATTGATATTGAAGGTAAGTCAAATTGGTCGAAGCAAACGTTTTTTTTTTTTTTTTTTTTTTTTTTTTTTTTTTT